AAATGATGTTACCTTACCAATAAAAGATGATGATTCAGCCGGGAATGCACAACTCTTGCGATACCGAGTCATTGCTATGGTTAGTGCGTGTATGAAATTAATACAAACCGAAATATTACCATTCAAAATGATATCTAACCGATTATGAATTTTTACGAATATATAGGTATTAGAACTTGGAATCATAGTTCACTCTGTGGTCATTGGACTATCTCTAGGAGCAACAAATGACACTTGCACCATTAAAGGACTAATCGCAGCTCTTTGCTTCCATCAAATGTTTGAAGGCATGGGTCTTGGCGGTTGCATCCTCCAGGTATATAAATAGAATAAGAAATTTTATCTTTGGTAAAAATGTTAATATTGTGTATATAAATAAAAATATAGCTGTTTTGAGTTATTTTCAGGCTGAGTATACGAACATGAAAAAGTTTGTTATGGCCTTCTTTTTCGCGGTAACAACTCCATTCGGAATAGCCTTAGGGATCGCTCTTTCGACCGTTTACAGAGACAATAGCCCCACTGCATTGGTAACTGTTGGATTGCTCAATGCATGCTCCGCGGGATTGCTTATCTACATGGCCCTTGTGGACCTTCTAGCGGCCGAGTTCATGGGACCAAAGCTTCAAGGTAGCATCAAAATGCAGTTCAAATGTTTTCTTGCGGCTCTTCTAGGGTGTGGTGGCATGTCGATCATCGCGAAATGGGCTTAATTAATTTTCCGGATACCAATGCGGAATTGAAATCATGTGGATTTCATTGTCGAACTAAAAACCGTTTCAGGTTTAAGTCTCGATTCTCTATCAGTATTTTTTTTACCTTACAAAACAGTTACGTGGTACTATCTATCACATTTTTAAAGAACATGTCTTTGGGTAGATATGTAATAACGTGATCGGTCACGGGTCAATAGTTTTTTTTTTTTTTTTCCTTGGTGTATTAAGCTCTTATCGTGTAATGTTTTTTCGCATGTTATAATAAATAAAACTTTTGTTTCTTTTCAAGATTAAACGAAAATTGAATAAGTAATGTTGTGTAATCTAATTCAGTAAGACTGTGAAGATAGAAGTTGAAAAAGCGTTTTTCTCTCTCCGAAAAAGGGCGAAAAAGCAAACCATTTTTCTTCGAAACCGCCGGCGTCGATCTCGACGATGGCAACCACCAAAGCTCCCAATGGGGAAGCATGACCGTGCTCTTCCTCCTCTCCCTCCCCCGACCCCCCTTGCGACCAACCCTCCATCTCCATCTCCATCTCCTCCACAGCCCTCCGCTACTTCCCAATAGCAGGAGCTGAGCCCATCATAGCTTCATCCTCGGGCCCCTCAGCCAAAGAAAATCTTGGATCCAATCCAGCGGAACCAACTTCTCAGATTCCGATTCCGGTGAACTCCTCCGCCACGGCTGAAGCAGCTTCACAAAAACCGCTCCTATTCAAAGGTCACTCAGGAAAGATGAAGAACTCCTTTCCTTCTCGATTCAGGCGAAATTTGTGTGAAGAGGTTATCAAAAGAGATGGGACTCATTTGTCTTAGGTCAATTCCATAGAA